TTTTTTTTTTTTTTTTTTTAGCTTTTTTAGCTTAACAGCAAAAGAAAGACATTTCGCTGATGAGTGGGCTGGGCGTGCGTGTCTATGTTTGTTAGGTGAGGAAGGCAAAGTCGGGTCTGCGTCTGTTCTCCAGGAGAAGGGAATTTAGGGGCAGAGCCTCAGAAAGACAGTCAGGAGCCTTGAGCCTCATCCCAGCCCAGTCCTATGTCCTGTTGGACCTCAGCGGTGCTGGTCTCAGGAGCTTGGATGCCTTCCTAGTCTGTTCCTAGCCAGGGAGATAAGCTGTGTTTAGAAAAAGACACCAGCTGGTTGCTTAAGGGCTGGGTCCATGGGACCAGGAAGCTGCTACACTTAGGGATTAGAAGTCGTGCCGGGAGACAACACGTGTTGTCCTGGCCTGGGACACATAATCCTTAACGCTTCGCTGGAGATTTTCAATAATTTTTAGTTCATCTCAGAACCTGAGTAGCTAGGGCCTCTTGTCCTTGAGAGACAAGCACCTTCTGTGCAAGGCAATGTTCCCTACGTGTGGAAGAAAAGGAGGAGGAAAAGAAAGGGGAGGAGGAACACAGAGAGCTATCACTGCTCTTTCCGAGATGACTCAGAGCAGCTGGCCCAGACCTCTGACAGCACCAACTTCCCCACTCACCATCAAGAGCCCTTTGTGTATGTTACCTAATAACATAATCCTTGTCATCCTCACTGTTACGGGAGGGGAGGACCTGCCTCATGCTGAGCCTTTCGCTGCATTCTCCCACCTCGTCCTTACCGCACGCAGAGCCCAGGAGGTCAGGATAGTCATTAGTGCACTTCATGGAGAAGGAGCCCAGGCAATCAGCTGGCATCCAGCAGAATGAGGGTTTGAATCTAGGTCTGCCCAGCCCTAGGGCCAGCATTTGACCAGCACTCTCAGTCTCCTGAGGACCCTTTGGGTTTTGAGGCTCTCAGCTGGCTATGATGTCACTGAAATCCAGGGATAGGTCCCATTTTACAGATGAGGCAACCAAGCCTGGATCCAGCCTGATGTCATCACACCCAGCTCAGGCTCCAGGGCTGTGTTTTTCACAGCTACAAGCTCAGAGGACAATAAGAACACATTTGTGGCAGGCTGGTGGTACACATCTGTAATCCCAGCTCTCTGGGAGGCTGAGGCAGTTCAAACCCAGCCTGGGCAACTTAGCAACTTAGTGAGCTCCTGTCTCAAAGATTTAAAAAAGACAAAATAAAGGCCTGGGGATATAGCTCAGTGAGAAGGCCCTGAGTTCACTCTCTAATACTGGAAAACAAAAAGCTATCTTTACAAGATCTGGGCGCAGAACTTGGTTCTGTCCCCCACAAATGGGGAAGAGGGGTTTTACATGTTTGTACCTGGGCCAGACAGCCACGGCAAAGGGTCTGAGGATCAGGCCAAGCCACAGCAAGGCCACAGCAGGGCTCTGATAGACTGAGCTCTGGGATGTGACTGTCATTGCCAGCCTACTCTGTGCTTGAGTGGCGAAGCCACAGTCAGTGTGAGGAACATCTTGCTCCCAGAGCCTCATGGCCCTGCCATCCTCTGCCCTGTCATGTTCATGCCAAAGACAGGCCCACGGGTTCTTGCTGAGTCGCAGATGGTGAGCAGCAGGGGCAGGGACCCAGAGGACCCTGAGTAGTGCGCTGCCCTCCCCAGTGGGTACCCACTAATGTCCTGCTGTTCCCAGTTGGCAGAGGCCAAATGTTCCAGGCATAACAACCAATTTAAACAACAGTGACCTTGGGAAAAACCGGATATCCCAGTCCTGTCAGCTGGCTTCATCCTGATGTGGTCAGAAGGGCCAGTTTCTGTCTTCCAAGGCCCTAGCAAGCTACCTCCCTCTCTGAACCTATTTCCTCAACTGAAAATCAGCACCAGGCTGATTTCACCTACACCTACTGAATGCTGGGCCCCGGGGACAGAAGCATGAGACTCCATGCTTTCCTCACAAGGCCATGCCCTGGGACAGTTATTCTCACTCTATCTCGGCCCATTCTTGGGAGGTAGAGAAGCTGAGGAAAGGAAGCGATAAAGCATCGAGGGAAAGGAAAAAGGAAATGTGAGGAAAGGACCATAGAAAAGCACAGCCAGGAACTCTGGACACCGGGGCCCAGAGATGTAGAAGCACAGCTCACAGGCACACCAAGTGCCACGGGATGGGAGCCTGATGTCATCTGGGCCAGGTTCCGAGCAACTGGGAATGGGTCTCAGGTCCTTTCCTCAGTAAGATGCCCCAGAGAGAGGTCCTGGTCATTGTAGAGACAGGCCAGCAACTCAGGCCCCCTAGGAAGGACAGCTCTGGGACATGGGGCCTGATTTCTGCTGAGGGAAGAAACAAAAAGTCCGGGTGCAATCCAGCTGTGAAGGAAGCCAGAAAGGTGCCGAGGTCAGGGATGACAGGGTGGGGGCGCCACCTCAGGTGGGCAGCCAGGGAGGGCATGAGAGCTGGAGACACTGGAGGAGAGTTACAGGCAGAGAGAGCCACTACACCAAGGCTCTAGGAACTGAGAGGCTGGCATCATTCTGGAATGGGAAAAAGGCCAACAAGGGGGTTAGGGCTTGAGGGAGTGGAACAGGAGTTTGGAGAGGCAATGAGCAGATGACCCAGGCGCTTGGAGCCTCTCTGCTGGCTGCACTGATAGCACAGCGGGGGCGAGGGTATGCAGTGAGACCAGGGGAGGGCGGTGGTGCACATCTCCTGCCATTTCCAGATACCCTCGGCCAAGGCACTTCACCATGAACTTCTCTGTGGGCCCGGGGAACAGGGGAGCAGATTTTGTTCACTCTTGTCTGCCAGCCAGATGGAACAAGCAGACTTGGGAGCAGTGGGCACCACACCACTGTAAACATTCACAATGAGGCTGGCTATGTCTCTGAGATGTCAGGGGACCATGGGGCAGGTGACCTCTCAGGTCACAGAGGCTGACTCTCTGTGAGCCACAGTTCTACCCCTATCTTGGTGGGTGAGCTCAGGCTCTCCCTTTCTGAGCCTCAGTTCAAATGATGGCGGAGTTAGACTAGATGATCACTGAGTCTTCCCACTAGAACACTGTCCGAGCCATCTACTTACAGTCTTCTCCTCAAGCCCCACCTGACTGACAGCTCCATGGGAACCTGGTCTCAGCCTTGGCAAAAGGTCCTGCCATGTCCACTGTTGCAACTCAAGTGTCGTGGGTGACCTTTGAGTTGGGAGTCTCTTGGCTCAGCCTAGGTTATTTTCTTTGGAGTCTCCTTGGCTGGTCCTGGAAGAGGGCTCACCTCTCATCCCTTCACCAACATATATAAGGGCCACCACCTTCTGCAGAATCCCAGCGGACCGTGCCACGGAGCAAGGCATTCGTGACCATCTTTCACCAGGCCTGTGAGTGGTGGGCTTCCCCCCAGGGACTCTCCATGTGGGTGCTTTGGAAGGCTTTGTGGGCAAGAGTGGAGGGATGAGGCTGCTCGGTTTAGCAATATATGAACAACTTAGAAATATATAGATTGTATTATGAGAATTATCAAAGTCAAACCCAAAGTTGGGCCATGAGAAGGTGTGCATGGATTTGTTCATACTTTATTTTATTGTACTGGGCTCTTTTTAATTGAGGCTTTTTATTGAGGAGTAGAGATTTTCTTACTGGGGTCAGGCATTTCAACAGTGAAATAAGTCACAGCCCTTTCCTTAAAGAGCTCATCTCAGAAAGAAGGCAGAAAACTAGTTGGCACCCAGGACCCTAATCGCAAAACAAAGGCTGCCAGTGGGTGTGGGGTCCCTAAATGAGATGCTAGGGAAGGAAAGTAAGATTCACAGAGGAGGTGAGGTCTTGCTGAAGAAGAGAATTAGGAGGCAGTGGGGGGGCAACAAAGTTTGAGCAGAGCAGGCAGTGTGTATGAAGTACCTTTTGGTGAAGAGTGCGGATATGAGGGTGAGGCTGACTTTTCCATCCCAACCCCTGCATCCACATGCTCTTACAGGAAAGTTAGGAGGAAGAGTGACAGGTGGGCAGTGGAGATTCCCCTTCCTTCTGGGCAGTTCTCACCCTTGCTCCTCCCACAACTGTCCAGGGAGCAGGAGAAAAGATGTTTCATCTCTGGAACCTTCTTTGCTTCTGCGGCCTGCTCACTGGCACCTCGGCAGCTCTTCTTCCTGATTTGGGCAGTGTCCTGAGCAACACGGTGGACAAGGTCACTTCCGTCGTCCAGGATGGGCTTGTTGGGACTGTTGAAAATACAGTTCAAGGTGAGTCAGTGGGGTGAGCACCCGGGACGCTCAGGAGCTACCTCCCAATCCCTGTGCCTGACCTGCCAGGGGCTGCCCTTCGTGAGTGGGTTCCTGAGAGAGGGAGATTTTCAATTACTGGCTTTCTTTTATTTTTCTTGAAACAAACAATGCTACAGCAAATATCCTCTGAGAAACTATTGCGAATATATATATATAGGATAGATTTCTAAAGATAGATATTTCCAAAGCTCAAGAAGTATGCATTCAACGTTATGGGAGTGTTGGCAAGTTCCCACATGTTAACACTCTTTCCCAGTCTTGGCAGCAACTTTTCTCCCACTCCATCGCCAGCACTAAGTCTGGACAATTTTCAATGCTTCCCCAGTTTTATAGATCAAAGACCATATTTCTTTAATTAAGTTCTCTCACTTAAAAAGATACTGACTTCCATTCATACATTTTATGGTCGGTATTTTGTTCATATTCTCAGTGGAACTTTCTGTTGGGTTGTTAGGCTTTTCTCTGTGTTAACTCACTGGGAATTGAAGAAGTGAGCTCATAACTACTTTATGTATCTATACATTTGCCTATCTATATATCTAATTATATCCCTATTTTAAAATATTGGGCCTTTAAAAAATTGGGCCTTCTTTTCTTTTTCTGGAAACACTAACAGCACACTGCCAAATAGTTTCTATAGCCGGAGGTAAGTCCACGAAAGGGCTACCTTTTAAAGTTTATCAAGTCTTAGGCAGCTTGCACAGGTGCAGAAATGACCCAGTCTCTTTCGCAGTTGAGAAAAAGAAATCTCAAGAAGAAAATGTGAGGATCAAGACCGGCTAGTGTAAGCAGAAGTAGTTATATTATCAACTTTATTTCAGTTGTTGCTCCTGTGTCACTGTCCCTACGTACATGCGAGCCATTGCACAGACAAGTTGCATCACTGCAATTTCATCTCATCATTGAGTTTATTGGTACTTTTTAAGTTTACAGTACAGCTACATTCATCATTGGGATCTTGTACCCTACATGACAGGTCTTGGTTCTCATTTTTTCCCCTTGTCCCTGCCCTCCCTTCACCCCCTCCCCACTCCCCTATTTACAAAGACTTTGTTTCCACTTTTTTTCTTTTCTCCTATTTTTTTCCTTTCCCTTCTTTCCTTTTCCCTACCCTTCCCACTTCCCTTACACCTTTAGGCCTTTTCTTCCCATTTCACATTGTCAGTTATACCATCTGGGTCTTGTTTACATCTCATTTTTTATATAGTTCTCTGTTTTTCCTTGAGTTAGTTGCTGCTTTGTGGTTTCTCACTTGAATTATTCCCTACACACATACCCTTAACTCTTTTTCTGTGCAACCCCCACATTGGCCATGTCATTTTCCTCTCTCTCGTCTCCCTGTTCTCCAGATGCCTCCCATTAGGACACCGGCCTCTGCTGTGGGATGAATTATTATTCTCTGGGCCTGCTGCACAGCTGTCATTCTGGGACTCCTGTTTGCCACTTTCATGAATTAGAGTCGTTTTTTCCTAGATCTTAGATTTTTCATTTTGAAAGTTCCCCCCCATTTTGTTTGACATGCTTTTACAAACCCAAATGAGCTTCTCATTTAGAGCAGTTGACCCCAAAGATCTCTAGAAACAGGCATATGTAATTGCTGTTAACAAAGGGGCTAAATGATGTATTGTTTTGTTGATAAATTATAAATCCATCTGAGTTTAGAGGCAGCAGCATAGAAGGAAAATATTTTCCTTTCTGGATTATTGAACACATTTCTTAACTTTTTGAAACTTTATTTCCTCAATGTAAGATGAAGGTAACAACAATACCTAGCTCATTGATCTGTGAGGGGTCGAATAGAATAACTCAGACAAACCATTTCACCGGGTACGTGGAGTTTAAGCTCTCTCTTAAGTGCTGCACACAGTAAATGGGAATTGTTTTTTGCAGATGTCCTTGAGAAACTGAAGGTAGACTTGGGGCCACTTCAGGATTCCAGTGTTTTTCAACAGGTCCAGTCTAAGATCCTGGGAGCTGAGAGCTTGCTGGCTGATATTATTTCTAATATTCAATCTTCAGATGGTCTTCTGGGGTATGTTTGTACTTCATAGTGATCTTTGCTCCAAGAAAGGGAAGCACCTAGAAAGAAAGCAGAGATAGTCTAAATTCGAAGACAGATGCACCAGTCTTATTCCTATCTGCAGAGCAGGAGTGGTCTGAGACCACCAGAGCTTGAATAAATTAGAGACGGGGCTCCAGGACCAGTTTGGGCATCTTGTGGGTTTGGAATCTAACATTCTGTGATTTTAGGATGAAATGGAAGGTTCTATTCATTCTTATCTGTTACTCTTTGCTCATGCCTGAAGCCCCTTTCCAAAGAATAAAATTGTCTTCTCCAAACGTAGCTGGGAATAACAGGTTAAATCCCCACCCAGGGAAGGAAAATTCATGCCACTTATCTCCAGGCACTTGCTTGACCCATGGGGTTTTGGAGGGGGATCTCGGTTGAAGTTGGGGCTCTGGTGCTTTCTGTACTCCCTGGGAACCATCACACGTGTTGGACCATAGTCTGCAGGGCCCTGAAATGCAGAGCCTCACACTTCTGAAATGGGCTGGGGGAGAAAAAGAGGGCAAGGCTGGTGGGGCCTAAAGTGCAGCATGACTCTGGCATAGAGAAGCTCTCCATGGATGGCTGCTTGGGGAATAACAAGTGGGTTCTGAGCAGGGTGAAAATTACCAATTCTGCCATTTTGGATGTCAAAGTTGAACCGGCAGCTGATGGCCTAAGCACCAATGTGAGGACCCCGATCACCACTAATGTCAGTGTGTCTCTGTGAGTATGTACAGTCAGACCTGGGTGCTCCCCTATTCTCTGAAGCTGGACCTTCCCAGGGTGCTGTGTGGCCTTTGATCTCAGTTTCCAATATGTAAATGTGAGAACTTTTCCAGGTCTAGAATCCCATTCTTCAAAATGGTCTAGTGAACTCTTGCCGTAAGCAAGTCTCATTTAAAGCACTACTGCATTCGATTTATTTTTGAAATTATAACTTTTACCTAATTATTGAATGTGAAAAATTGAGATGGCATGGATATTCATAATTCTTTGAAAAATGTCTTCCTTTTTCTGTCTTCTAAGATTCTATTTAGCAGTGACCATTACAGATAAATGCATATACTAATGCGAATCGTGTCACGTAGGTGACAAATAACAATGAAGTACTTTAAATTTATAAGAGACAGACAGGAAAGTAACAAGGAAGAACACATGTGAAAGGATTTGTGAAGGCTGTGGGGATAGCACAATGGTACAGCGTTTGCCTAACATGGCCAGACAGCTGGGTTCCATCTTCACCACCACAGAAATGTGAAGAAGTTTATCCTTGAATGAAATGTACAAATAATATCATGAGCTGTGAGATCTCAGAATAGTTATTTAACTTCTTTTTACTCAGGTTCCTCATTCAGAACGAGTACGATTTGCTTCATAGCGTTACAATAATGGTTAAATGGACCTAACCAGGCTAAATACTTTGTGCTGGAAATGTTGACAGTTATTTTAATTATCACTATAATGTTGAATACGTAACTCCTATGAACTCAACCCGGGTGGTGCAGATAAAAAGCCCTAATAGAAACATGTAAATGAAAGAATATAGACTATATATTCCATTATATAGACCATAATGAATATAGACTATGTTCTCATTTCCCAAGCGATGAGGGCCTTGCCTGTGGACATCTGGATAATGCCCACACAGGTAGAGGCCTCCAACACTAAATCACTGTGAATCCTGTTTCCTGCAGGCCTCTCGTGGGGCAAGTGATCAACTTGTCTGTGTACTTGGACCTGCTGGCTGGACTCAGCGTTACAACCGATCCCCAGACTGGCCTCCTCTCTGTGGCTGTGGGAGAATGCGCCACTGACCCAGCCAGCATCTCACTGTCTGTGCTGGACAGGTATGGTCCATCCGTCTTGGGACACCTGAGCTCTCAGAGGCCTTAGAACACCTAGTTTCTGCCCCATTTCAATTCCGGAGAACTGAGATAGTGTAGTACAACAGTTCAGGGTCTGGAGTCGGCTGGCTTTGCTTCACATGTCAGCTTTGCCACTAACTTTTGGCTTTATAAGCACTTAATCCACCTGTCCTAATGTCTCTGTTTCTGTTTGTTTGTTTGTTTGGTACTAGGGATTAAACTGAGGACCTTGCACTTGCAAGGCAGGTGCAGCACCCCTGAGCTCAATCCCTGGCCCATGTCCTCATTTTAAACATGACCTGGGGACAATAATGATGTCACTGTCCACTCTCCCTGGAGAGTACTTGTCACAGATTGTCATTATATGTTTAATTGTGCATCTACTTGGCTCATTCTTTTAGTTAAAAATGCATTGAGTTTCTTCTATGTGCCAGAAAAACACTGCTGTGAGTTCTGCAGTGCTGACTGGTGAGGATAGATGAGGACTCTCCCTGTGGAGTTTCTCCCAAGGGAGAAGCAGGCAGAGAAGCCATCAGTCTATTCACTGAGGATCCTCAAGACAGAGCTGTGTTGTGTACAGTGCATGACTCTATAAGGATCAAACCCTCTCTGAGAGAGGCCGTTAGGGCTCCGCCCTAGGAGGTGATGTTTATGCCACAAGTGGAGGTGGAAGGAGGCAGCCCTGCCACCATTTGTCTCATCGTGAGGGCCAAGGTTTGAGATTTCTTGTCCTGTGCTCATCCCACTGTCTCCAGGGCCCATCTGGGGACCTGGCATGCAGTTGGTGCTCTGGAATTGGGCTTGAATGAATGAATGAATGAATGAGATCTCAGGATTGGGACGAGACTCTCCCAGGCACTGCGTAAGCCACTGGTTAAATGTAGATGGTAAACAATGGTCCGTCCGGATGTGGCTCTGAAATGAGAAAGGCCACGTTTTGTGCATCCCCTGTCATCGAGTGTGGCCCTTGGGCACTCTCTTGCATGAGGAAGCCTCAGACCTTCCTGTCTCTTGCAGTAATATCGAACTGATCAACAAGGTTTTGCAATCTGTGAGTGGCACCGTGAGTAACATCGCATCCGTCCTGGTACAGCAGCAAGTAAGTCCCCCACCCTTGGGTCCCAGAGCCAGATTGGTGGATGGCTGGGGTGGCGTCCCTGGGACTTTCTGGATTCTCTGGGCACCTTTTCTTCTGAGGTGCAGATTTCCTTTATGAAAGCCAAAGAGCCACCCCTCCTCCTCTGTAACAGCCTGGAGGGTGGGAGGGGCCGACAGTAATGGAAACCCGAAGATCCCACACTGCGGGCCCTTCCATGCCCATGCATTGCCACTATGGTTTTCAAGCTCATGTTTTATTTTAATCTACATAATTTTTATCTAAATGCATTTAAGTAGATGGATGTAATTTTTATTTATAATACATTCATTTATAAACAACTATATCAATATAAATGGAAAGCTAATATAACTTATTACATCACGTAATTAGGAGAAGAAAGAAGCTCAGGACTATAAAACCAGGCGTTTTTCTTGTTTTTGTTTTTGTTTTCCTTCATCTCTGCCTCATTCAAAACCACATGCCATGTGTGTAGATCCCCGGGAGCAAAGGTCTATCATTATGATCAGTTCATCTGCATAGGGTCTGGGGGACTTGGGTATATAAATGAACAATCCTCTTGGCGGTTCTGTGATTGGTTGCACCAGAGCCTCCGTGTTCCCTGTGTGGTTCACAGCCAGCTTGCAGCCCCTGTGTTCTCTGTAGAAATGCAGAGCCCTAGGCCTGTCCCAGTCCTGCTGATCAGGATCCAGCAGGGGATGTGTGCCCCCGGGACCTGTGAGAATTGCCTGACGGTGTTCAGAACCTTGGGCCCTTTAAAGCTCCAAAGCTCCCAAGTTCATTTTAAGACCCTAGAGATGCTAACCATAGATTCCAGAGTCTGGAGATTTCCAATGTCAGGTCCCAGGGCTCTCAGATTTCAGACTGCTAGGATTTTTATTGTGCTAGAGTCCAAAGGGGCAAAGGTTCTCAGGACCCTGGAAGTGAGCCTGGCTGTGCGTGGCACACGGTGTGTCCTCAGCTGAGAAACCCCTGCCCTTGGAGCCCTGACTCTTCTCCCTCTCTTCTCTCTGACCCTCAGATATGCCCACTGCTCAGAATCCTACTGAGTGGCCTGCAAGTCAAGTCTCTTTCAGACATCACCTGTGAGTCACAGGGGAAATGGGTACTTTTCAAAGGCAGCCCCTAGGCAAGGGCTCACCCCCGCTGTGCATTCAGGAAGCATGGGGAGGCACAAGGACCCACCTTCCTGAGGTGGCTCAGACTTTTTTCTGATACTGGGGGGTTCTCTAAAACTTTTAGGACAACAAACTCTGGCTGCTGGGGCTGCTGTGGCATTAGAAATAGGGTAGTGAAGATGTCAGGGACCTGGAGGTGGCTCTTTGATGAAAAGGCCATGAATCCAGACCTTAGCTAGGACCAGCACTCTGTGTCCTGAATATACTCTCCCAGCAGCTCTGTGGAGTGGGTACTGTCCTTGTACCAGCTTTACAGATGAACAAACTGAGGCTCAGAGATATGGTGTGACACGTCTGAGGTCCTGTGGCTGCCAGATTGACCTGCTGTGGGAAGGTGGCTTTTGGGGTCGGATCCCTTCAGAGCAGTGAAGACTGCTCTTGATTCTGTTCCTTCAGCTCTACTTCAACCGACTAGCCTGCTGGCCCCACTTGCCTAGGACGGATGAGAAGGACCACTGTGATGTCACCTGTTCGTGAGGGGCAGGCTGGGAGCCAGGGCAAGGGGCCCATGGGGAGGGAGGAGAAGGCTGGGCTTCACCTCTTTTTCCATCAGCAGACTCAACCTTCATCTCAGTCATAGACTGAGCCAGGGCCTTGGCTCTAAGCTGATCCCTGATTTTGCTTACACTCTCATCTCTGAGCCTGGATCACACAACCAGAGAGCACTCAGAATTGGCCCCCTGACTGAGTCCACATCCAAGTTACAGATGGAGTTTTATGCCAGTTTTAGCTCGAGACCCGAGTGCAGTCACACACTGAATCCTGGCTGCCGCCTCAGACTCACCCAGGATCCCTATCACATTTTGCACCCCGACCCTGGCTGGCTCCCCTCATGGCTCTACTGAGTCTTTCCGCATCTGGCATTGTTCCCAAGAAAGGGCGGGAATGAGGATGGACCAGAGACGGGCTGACAAAGACCCCAGACCGTAGGTGCCACTCCCTTCCCCCAAGCCTTAGACCAAGCAGGGTGATGAGGGAAAGAGCAGAGACTAGTGTGGGTCCCACCACATGTCCGTGACCTGAAGCTCCTGTATCGCTGTGGATGCGAATGTCCTCCCTCTGCTGTCTCACCCCAGGTGTGTGCCCAGTGTTTCAGCCTCGCTCCCTCATGATAACTCCTTGTGGAAGGTGGGGCCACCATCCACGCAGAGTGACAGCCTGAGCCCAGCCGGAAGCACCTCCCGGACAACTCATCGTCACATGGGACAGCGGGCCCCACACTGCTCCCCCTCCCTCCGACAATAAAAGCCATTTCTGCATCTCCCACGTGGCTCGCTGTTATCCAGCTACTGGGGTGGGTTGGCCAGGGTCAGGGTGGCAGATGGGGTGGCAGAGACCTTATTTCTCATTGCAAAAAAATAGGAATAGTCGTGTCTACCTCCTTGGTTTTCAAGTGGGAACACTGAGACAGGGAGAGGGCCAGAATCTGGACACACAGCAGGGTTTTGTTTTGTTTTGTTTTTTGTCTTTTTTAGACAGAGTTTCTCCGTGTAGTTCAGCATGACTTTGAACACACTATGTGGCCCAGGTGCCCTTGAACTCTCAGAGATTCTCCTGCCTCAGCCTGTCAGCCTGTTGAGAGCTGGGATTACAGGCGTGTGCCACTGTACTCAGTGCCCATCTTTATCAGTGAGAAGAGCGGAGGATCCACTCAGTCCCACATCTATCAGGAGATCAGTGTGCATTTGCCCTGTTCAGGCTGTAGTGACATCCGGGGGACAACCCAACCGGTGCTTTCCCCCACTCCTCCCCACGTACCCCGAGGATTCGCGGAGAGCTGGGGAAAGCTCGATCTGACAGGACTCAGGGGCACAGGGCAGCGTGACCCAGGTCAGATGCCGGTGCTCCATCCCTGTCTGCCTCTCCCTGCCACAGGAAGGGTTGTGGTCAGGCAATGTAGGCTCCGTCCTCCAGGCAATGATGAGAACCCATGGACTTCATGTCTAACGCTCCTCTGTCCTTCGCATCCTCAGCCACAGCACCTGGCACCCACCTGCCCGGCTGCATGGAAATCCCGCCCCCTGGCGGTCACAGACCCTGGGGACGCTCTGCTGTCCTGTGAAGAACTCCTTTCTCTACCTAAGGTCCCCTCAGCCAATGCTCTGAACTCAGCCCACCCCTTCTGCACCCGGCTGAGGCCCAGGCCGCATCACCCTTCAGGGACATGTGTCCCCTCCACTGTCACCACCTCTGTTTCAGGAGGAAGAACTGGGGCTCATGAGGCAAAGTGACTCATACAGGTCACACATAAAGTGACAAAAGAATTTTATTCCACGGCTGTGGGACAGACACAATACCCTTGCTCAGATAGGTGACATCCGTGGTCTCTGCCCATGTCTCCTGGAGCCCCTTGAGGGCACCAGTTATAGGGCTCAAATTCCAGGCTGGCCCTCGGTTTCCCCTTGGCCCTGAAGGGATGAGACCCCACCTTTTCCACAGCCTGGTTTGCTTCGGTGGGAAAACAGCCCAAGTGACAGGTGACACATGGAGGGTTTAGGATCTAAGCAGCCTCTCTTCTCAGGAGAGCATACGTCCCTGAGGACTGGAGGATTTGTCCTAAGCATCTGTGCTATTCCAAAAGCTACTGCTCTGGGTCCTGAGAGACTCTGGTTCCACAGTCCAGGACCACATTGTCATTGCCCCAGCTGCTGATTCTTCCAAGGTCCTCCTCTCTGACAAGGCCACCTCCTGGTGAGTGGTCACCTCAGGACCCCTGGAGCCCTCGGAAGCTGCCCTTGGATCCATGACCCTGAACCCTCCTGAGCTTCCTGCCAGGGCCTCAGCTCAACTCATTTCCTCAGTGCACTGCTCACCACGGGTTGAGGATGAGCGGGAGTCACATGCCTCTTTCTAGCTCTGAGACCCTGGGCAGGAGACCTCACAACCTCAGTTTTCTCACCTACCAAATGAAATTAATAGGAAAATTTCTTTAATTAAACTTGATGAGGGATAAATGTGCCAGTAAACAGGAAGCTATAACCAGAGCCTGAAACTCAGTGAGTCCAATGAAGGTCAGCTCTGCATACTTCAGGGAGATTTTTATGATGAGCTCCACCCTTTGTTTGTTGGTTAGACTGGTAAGGACTGACAGGAGAGAGAATCATGGCCCAGGGAGATCTTGGGGTCTTCTTGTCTCTGTGAGATGAGACCACTAAATGTCCCCCACTGTTCATTTGTGTCCTTCCCAAACTTTCTCTTTGCACATGGCCTCCCAGCCAGAAATGACCCCTCCTAGGCTCTCTTGAAGCTGTCATCATGGACTAGGTCTGGCCAATGGTGTAGGAGCAGAATTTAGGTGAAAATTTTACCTTGTGATTAAAAATTCAGTGAGGGCTGGCCAGGCTTGGTGGCACACACCTGTAATCCCAGCACTCTGGAGGCTGAGGCAGGAGGATCGCTGTGAGTTCAAGACCAGCCTGAGCTACATTGTGAGTTCCAGGTCAGTCTCAACTACATAGTAAGACCCTGTCTCAAAAAACAAAAAACAAACAATTATTTTGGGCTGGGGATTTAGCTCAGCGGTTCCATTGCTTGCTTCACAAACACAAAGCCCTCCGTTCAATCCCTGTACCAAAAAAAAAAAAAAAAAAAAATTCAGTGAGGTCTTTCCACTTCCTCCTGGGCTCCCCTTTCCATCCAGTTAGACAAGGGAAACACAGGAAGGACTGCCCTAGACCCCTGGATGGAAGTTGTGCTTAAAGAGGACAGAGCAGCCCCAGAAGCCCTGACTTCTCACCTCTGGGATCTCATGTAACAAAGGCCCTAGCTCCCTTCATTACACAATTTCATGGTGTTTATGTGTTTTATGGTCTGTTTGTTGAAGACGCCTTGTGTCTCTTGTTCCTACATTACTCTACCAAAGACATGCTGTTTGATCTGAGGCTGCTACATTTCCTACTCTGAGCTCTATTTTTCTGTCTGGGTAGTGTTCTCTGATGGCCCTTCCTTTTTTCTCTGAAAAAAATGAAACAAAATTGCATAGCAAAATAATTAGAGAATAACAATAGTTAACACACATTGTATCATGATCTCAAATAATGGCCAAAATAATATTCAGATTACAAGCCATAGACAAAAAAGTCTGTCTCTTAAAAAGAAAAAACAAATAAAATGACAAAAATCTTTTCTATGAACAAAAAGAAACTGGTAGTATAAATGAAGCTAATTAGTATACATTTAAAAATAATAGACTAGATAATTTGGGTAATTTAAAAAAACTTTCTACATCCTATTTTATCATCTATTTCTCCCCCAACCCCGGGTCATTTCTCCTTCCTTTACTCTGTTTCAATGATGCACATACCTGTTTTTGTGCCAGCACCATGCTGTTTCAATTGCAGTAGCTTTGTAATATAATTTCAAATCTGGGACTGTATGCCTCCTGCTTTGCTTTTGTTATCCAGGATTGTTTTTGCTCTTCTAGTTCCATACGAATTTTAGGATTTTCTATAGATCTGTGGTAAATGCTGTTGGTGTTTTGACAGGGATTGCATTAAATCTGTATATCAGTTTTGGAAGTATAACCGTTTTTAATATATTGGTTTTGCCTATGCAGAAATAGGGGATATCTTTTCATTTTCTGATATCATCCTTGATTTCCTCTTTTCAGAGTGATGTAATTTTCATTGTAGAAGTCTTTCACTTTTTTGGTTAGGTTAACTCCTAAGCATTTACTTTTTCTTTTTTCTTTCTTTTTTTTTTTTTTTTTTTTTTTTTTTTTTTTTTCCTTTTTTTTTTTTTTTTTTTTTTGATACCAGGGATGGAACTTGGTACCTTGTTCTTGTGAGGCAGGCAGGGGGACCACTGAGCTAAACCCCCGGCCCTACTTTTTCTTGATGCTATTGTGAATGGCATTGTTTTCCTAATTTCTTTCTCAGTGAGTTTGTTATTAGAATATAAGAATGCTTCTGAATCTCGTATGTTTGCTACTATATTGCCAAATTTGCAAAAACAGGTATGTGCATCAGTGGAACAGAATAAAGGAAGTAGAAACAACCCCAGGTACATTTAGCTATTTGATCTCTGACGACATAGACTGGAAGAAGGATAGTAGCCTTTTTAATAGAGCATATGTGGACAATTGGATATCCAGGTCCTTCCTAAACGGACAGGAAAGCATTTAACATATCTTTGACAGTTGAATGTAGAGAAACTATGTCTTTTTTTGTTCTTAGTACCTGCCAAAAATTGTACTACACAAATAGTCCTCAACCACTTTTGTCTCCCTGGTGACATTTAGCACCTTTGTCTCTCCAGGTGACATTTAGCAAGGTCTGGAGATACTTTTTACCTTGGAATGGGTGAGGGGTGCCAGCTGCGTCTGGTGCCCAGAGGGCAAAGCTGCAGACAGGCCAAGAGAGAAGCTCAGT